ACAAAAGACCAGAGGGAAATCTCTGAAAAGTGCTGGCTCTTGAGATCAATAGACTCAATGATGACTAAGTTAGGTAGCTTTATGCAGTTTAAACATTTGTGCAGGGAAGCTCCCCACACAGCCTTTTATTGACAGCTACAGATCAATGCTAATTTTTGATCATTTTCAACCTACATAAACCTACTGACCCCATGGCCACCTTTGGGGCACTTCAAGTCGTCAAAAATAATCAGAGAAGATGGTGTAAAATTGTCAGACTGCTCAAGACTCCAAGTAGTTTCATGTGTCCCCAGGAGCCGAGTTGAGAGGTTAAAATGTAGTTCAAATTGCCAGCACAATCTCAACTGGCAAAGTGTTCCAGAGAGTCTTGTCTTCATGCCTCATAAAATGATGCACTGATTTGTGTCCAGACTCTGACCCTCATGCATTTATATTTCAAAAAAGAAAGAGAGAGAGAGATGAAATCTCATTAGAAATATTAGATTGCAGAGAATGCATGCTCTCCCATGAAAGTATTTCTTCTTGGTTTCCTTTGTTGAACCGTTCTCTTTAGAATACTTCCTCAAATCTGCTATTTAACAAAGGTAGTGATTATACTTCTAGAAAAAAAATACTAATGTGATATTGGACATGTACATAAGATGTTACTAAGTGCTGTCAGCTTGGAAACTGTATACAGGGTTACTATGAGTTGGAACCAACTCCCTGTCTAGGATTCCTGAGGAAGGCCTGGTGACTTTGAACCACTGACCTTGTGGTTCAAACCGACCTTGTGGCTGAGAGCTTATTCCACAGCACCTAACCAGGACTCCAAGATATGTACTTAGAATAGACAGACAAAAGGGAGACAAGTGTGATTTGGTAGCCTAGAGCATTGTAGGTCAGGAATAACACCATCAATAAAATAGCTCAAAGGAAATTGGTAAGATGAAAGAATTCTGGGAAACACCAGAATAACGACAAGGAAGAGTAAGATGTTAGAGTATTAATTCAGGATAATCCCCATAGAGGAATTAGATTGAGGGGACACGGACAAAGGAGTAGAGTAGGGAGCCAGAGGAATAAAGAGAAGAAAGATGGATGAAAGATGAGGAAAAGGAAAGGAAAATGACTTTCAGTGATGGATCTTCCCAGCCAGTGGAACAGAATGTTACATCTCCAAAGGGAGAAGTTAAATCCAAAACATTTAAAATTATAACCAAAGTGCACAAGAAAATATTCCGAATTTAAGGGGTATAGCAAAGAGTTTAAAATAAACAAGATCCAATCGAAATTAGTTCCACAACATGGAACTGTGTCCAAATTTTACAGCAGGATTCTAAAGCCTACTAATTGTGAACTTTGGTGTTGACAATGCATTCAAGAAATAATTATTTTAAATTTTTCCAAAGAGGCTGAAGATTATACAGACAAGAATTGTTCTGATATTTTTCAATTTCTTCTTTTTAAAAATAGGATCTTTACTAAAGACTCAGAAAAAGCATGGTTATTAGTGAGATCTATTTAAGGAGTTTGTTTGTGTGTGTGTATAATATTTTTGGTGGTGTTGTCGTTAAGTGCCGTCAGGTCGGTTCTGACTCATAGCGACCCTATATAGGAGTTTCTGGTGAATTGGAACTGCTGACCTGGCAGTTCAAACCAACTTTGCAGTCTAGTGCTTGTTCTAAAGCGTCATACCAGGACTTCCCTTCATAAATAACAAAATAATGTAATAGGAGAACTTTTCCTCAGTAAATTTAAGATATAAAAGTTCTCCTTTATATCCAAATATGTGATTATTTTAAAAAAAGACAAATGTAGACCAGATGAAGTAAAAATAAGTGTTGTAATCATCTTTCATAGGAGAACACCTTTACACAGTTTCTGTGTCAGGCATGCATGAACTTCAATTTAAGACCTGCAGGTCATATTTCTACATTAGATGGTGGAGGTTTAGAGGCCAGGGCATTTTGAATACTTCTGCTTTCAGGGATCTGAGCCATAAATGTTTATTAAAAGAATCTATAATGAAATCAGTTTTGTTATTTTTTTAATGGTTGCCTGGAGTGTGTTGGATGGCTGAATGCTGGTTGTTAATCATTAGGTACTCATGTTACCAAAAGTGTTTGATAGTATTGCCATCTAGGGGCTGAATGGAATTCTCAGCTCTGAAATAAAATGTAATTGAACAGGTGCTACCATTGACAATATACATATGTTTTTGCTTTATAGTCCACATGCTTTTCATGTTTCTCATGACAAAAGCTATCTCTAAAAATGTTCCCCAACAGCCTACCTTTTTTATACATATTATCTGTTCGAGGTGATGACTATTTGCTTTGGAGTGTGTGCTTTTTTTGCATCTATTACTAAATATTCTGAACAAAGAATTATTCTTTTTTGCATTATTAATATTGCCCGTGTTTGCCCTATTTCCACAGAAAAGAAATCATTTATCAGAAAAGAATGTTTGTAATCGGAACTTGTAGCATCTTCAGATTTAATATTCATTATGATCATCCTTGTTCTGTGCTATATTTATCTAAAAGACCAATCCAATGTTGTGGGGAAATAAGTTTTAAATATTTATGATCTAACTTTTAATATTTTAAAAAAGAGAAATTAGTATTTCTGTAAAATGTGTTTCAGAGTCTGGTCGCTTAGCAAATGTTTAAATATTAAAAGATTTCAAGAGGTTAGCATGTAATATTATAATGGGACTTATTGAAACAGGGAAATTGACATCACAAGTTTTTGATAGGTGAAGGAAATTGTATTTTCTCTACCCATGTTCAACACATAATAAGAAGCATTAACACGGTTGAAACCTATAACCAAGACTGTTAAAAAATATTTCTACAGTGTGTTTGGCTTTTGTCTAACCAGTTTGGAAACTAGTTCAATCTGGCTTTATCACTTTGCTGTAGATTTTATTTAATATGATATTTGGATGTCTCTAATTAAGTAGACTCTTCCTTAAGTGTTACTTTGTCTGATGCGCTTGAGTACCACTCTCAGAAATAGCTTCTTCTTCTCCATCTCACTTTCCTCCTCCCCTGCCCACCAGAATAGAAGACAATGGCCTGATGTGACTGCACTGGAATGCTAAGCACAAGGTCAGCAGTTCAAACCCACCAACCATTCCTTGGAAATTCTATACAGGGTCACTATAATTCAGAACCAACTTGATGGCGCTTAACAACAACATCACATTTAAGGAGTCCAGGTGTGGTGCTGTAGGATAAACACTGGACTGTTAACTACAAGGTCAGCAGTTCAAACCGATCAGCTACCCCTTGGGAACCCAATATAGGGTCGCTATGAGTCAGAACCAACTTGATGGCACTTAACAACAAAAACAACATCACATTTAAACATCCAATAAACAAAGCTGGCCTTACACAGCATTAAATGTAAAAATCTTACTAACCCAGTCAAAACATTCTTGTGACTTTCCACATCCAATGAGTATAATATGCAACAGAAAGCACCTATTTGTAAGTGTGTGTGTGTTTAGTTATATGCACATTACTTGTTCACTTGCAGGTATAATTCCTATCTGTAAACAGTCTTGTCCATTCATCCCAGATGTGGGAAGAGCACTCTGAGGCCTTTCAAAACATTAGGATTCTTACCTTCAATTTTGATAAACAAAATATGCTAAATGTAGTTCTCCAAGCAGGAAACTTTTTTTTTTTAATCAACTTTCTCTCTCTCTCTTTTATGTTTTTTTTTAAAGGAGGCCTACTTGTTAAGCACTAAATGGTGGGCGGTTTGAACCCACCAACCACTCAGCAGAAGAAAGATAAGGCAGTCTACTTCCTTAAAGATTTGCAGCCTTGGAAACCCTATGAGGCAGTTCTAGTTCTACTCTGACTTAAAACATAGCTGTGAGTGGGAATCTACTCAAAGGCAATGAGTTTGGAATCTCTCTCTTTTTTTTAAATCAACAAATATCAAATTCCCCAAATCAGGGCATTCATAATTACTTTTGGTAAATGTCATTGTCTTGGTTATAGTTGTTTTTTTAGAAAACATTTTCCCATATATATGAACACTTGATTTTCCTGAAGATATTTGTGCATTTATATTTCAGTTGGTTTAGTGTTGTTTCTTGTGTTTGTATCATGTGTGTGTGTGTGTTTGTAAGATATAACTTGTTGTTATTAAGTGCCATCGAGTCGATTCTGAGTCATCGCAATCCTGTGTGAGGTTCCCAAGGAGCATCTGCTGGGTTTGAACTGCTGACCTTGTTTAGTTCAAAGTCTGGGTAGGATCCTACAGTGCCACACCAGGATATAATTATACACCAAGAAAATGAGAAGGAGGTTGGGGAGATGAAGATAGGCTTAGATATAAATGAATAGTAGCAACGATTAATAAAAGAGAATCGTGATCACTCTGGATGAATCTCTGTCTCCTTACAGTTGACCTGGTATAACCCAGTGGCTGATTCCAGTACTCTAGTATACAGCTTGGTACCAGCGAGTGCCATCATGA